CAAAATATTAATGGCAACTATCACAACACTACCAGGTTAGTTAAAATTTCTAGTTTGAGAAAGATCAACAAAATATGACATGATAATCATAATTCAAGATGGAAAAGAAGGTTACCTAGAATACTGAACAAGAAGATTATCAGGCTTGAAATCACCATGAATGATGCCAACACTATGCAAAGTTTCCAACATGTAGAGCATCTCTATGGTGTAGTAAATACATAGTACTTCTTCCATTGATTTGCCGATCACCACGTATGAATTTATAACATCCTGCAATTTTTGAGAGCAACCATAAGCATTAGAGAAGGCTTAGGTGGTTCACCCTTCTGCAATCTTCAGCAGAAGATTTTCTTGAATAAAAGCAGACAGGAAATATGATGAATCTACCTGGAGAGTTCCATGAGATAGATAGCCACAAACCAGTATACTATAATCGGTATATAGATGCATTCGGTGAGCAAAACCGAAGATTGACCTCTGATAAGATAAGATATTGGAAATAAAATAAGTAGTGTTTACAGACCAGGAAATGCATGATAGTGACTAAAAAAAAGCAGACAGAAAGAATACTTGTTTATCTGAAATGCGCTGATCAAGTTGACGATATAAGTAGAATTCCCATGGGAAAGGAGGCTTTTGTATCTGTCACGCAATTCGAGGATTTATGATACCTAACAAGATGCAGATTCAATCTTGTATGCACAGTGGGAATAGCAAGGGCAGTTTTACCTTCAATGCTACGACGTCATCAGGATTACTATTCTCATGTGCCTTAAATACTTGAGCAAAACCACCCTGACCAGCACAACCCTTGATCTGGTATTTCTTTCCCCCTCAAGTATCGCAACAAGGAAAGTAGAAGTGATAAAAAGTCAATTTCCTGTATTTGCCCCATCTTTCCCCTGATCTCTACAAATGCATGTTTGTTTCTCCAAACAAATTTAAGAAAGACGCATGTCTAATAATATAAAACTCAAAAAAACAGCAATTCTATGCAGATTCATATAACTAGAGTGAAACTACTTAAGCAAGATACCGATTTCAATTATCTTATTTCTGGAGGACTTCTGCAATGAAGATAAGCACACCTTCCCAGGATAAGCTTTATTACTTGATTGGTATCCCTGAGAAGAATTTCAAATAAATTGAAGAAAAAATAAATCTATAAAAAATTATCAGACTATGTCAATGAAAAAAATGCAAATCAAATGAATGAATTGCCATACCTTATATTTCATAATTTCAGGATTTATCTTCTTCATTAAGTTGGTTATGGTGGAGGAGGACCATGGATTAATATGATTTTCTACATACTCAAGAGATCCTCTGCCATCCATCTGCTATTGAGGAATACAGAGAGATCATTCTTCTCTTTACTAGTGCATACAAAACTTCAGCAAACCCAAGCATTAAGGAAACAAGATAAAAAAATGCCTCAAGGTTAAAGAAAAAAAGTAAAGCATAAAACATAATCGGCCAGACATTTAGGTGTTAGATTATTCATTAAAGAATTCCACTGTAACACTCGTTAGACATATCCATAAGAGAATGACACTCTACATGAGGATATTAAAACTTAAAATAAGTGCATGATAGTGATCCTATAATGTCATGCAGAAAAACTAATAAATTAGGAGCGGACCATCAAGCATCAGAAATTTAAACTTATAGTGGCGACTAATAAAGTTCTTATTAGAAAACTAACTGAAAGATAACTGAGAAATCCCCTTTCACCAGCACAACTTTGCCACAGCTTAGCGTACCACAATGTTGGATTCCACTACAAATTTTTGATATTTTCTTAAAACTTGGTGAACTTTTGAAGAGAACAATTGGGTTCCACCCTTCAAGGTGACTTATTGATCATCCTTCACTGGAGCAAAATCAAAGCAAACGTGTGAAACTTACTAGTTTCTGTACCTGGTTTACATACATACCTTCTGGAGAGAGGAAGCATTGACCCTTTCAGACATCCTATTTAGAAATAAGGACTCCGCTCCTTTTAATCTCTCAAGTGGTTTGGCTTTCCTATATTTCCAATAATGTAACGTTAATAACATCATCAAAGCCACGAAAAAAACACTGAAATTTGGGGTTAATTATAAAACAAGTATACACATAAGAGACCTTGAAATGCCAATTTGGTATACCATATGTGCCTCTTGCCACTTCCCTTTTGCTTCAAGAAACACTGCATACCATTCATATAGCAAAGAATGGCCAACACATATTTTGCTCTCCTCCATTTCTCTAAAAACCTTCTCAAAATCTTTACTACCCTCCAGCTGAAGAATCAAACAGTTCAAACTCGTAAAAAAATTACACCGAAAATATCCAAAACTCATGGAGGAAACCGGCCAATTATACTGGAAACACTCTCAATCTCCAATCAAAATTAATGGCCAAGTTGGCAACCATTAAACAGATTGAACCCAAATACCCTTCTCCTAACCCGTAAGAAAAAGCAAAAAGAAAAAATGAAAAAGAAAACCTTCAATAGCAAAATTGAACATGAAATCTAAATATCTATAAACACGTATGTTTATGTCTTCAGCAACTCCTGATACTAAAAGCCACAAGCAAATTAACTTATAGAAACATCTGAACCGAGGAAAAGAAAATACCCCACAAAAAAATGCCAAATCAACCAGCTGGATAGTTCAAGAAACCAAAGTATAAAGCATTTGATCGACATAATTAGTTAACTCTCATCTCACTTTCCACCATATAATCACTCCAACGAAACCCAAAAGTAATTGTACGGAGAGAATTTGTCAACGCGATAAAGAATAAAGGGCATGTGTTTTACGTAGAGAAACCAAATCTTGAGGAATCTGATGTCGTTTTGGTACTGAGCTTTGTGCTTGAATGTCGATATGCAGTCCCCCAGAAGCTTATCCAGATCTGCACCAGAGCCATTTCCTGAGTACCAATCATCGAGTGCCTCCTTAATCTTCCTGCATTTCAAAATAAATTCACTGGTAAATTCATTCCCACATAAGCACACGTATGTATGTCGAGAGAGAGGGAGTACAGGAGCCATGGCAAGAGGGCGTCGTGAGGAGACACAGACTCTTCTGCTTCAGGATAAATCACGGCCATTTCCTCCGTGCAAAGGAGAGAGAGACAGAAAGAGAGAAAAAAGTGCAGAATAAGCGCGGAGTTATTCAAAATCAAATTCCCGAATTGTTACAAAGGGCAGCCATGGGCCTTCTTCTTCCCTCTAAATGGGCCAAAAATATCGTAAGATGATGGAATTATCCCGAATTTTTAATTCAATTTTTTATTCAAAAATTACAAAAGAAATTTGAGAAGACCAAAAAAGAAAATGAATCTACAGTAGTCTGAAGTAGGACTAATTATTTAGAAATAAAAATTATAATTTTAATTATATATAATTCATCACATTTTTATTTTTATATTATATTAATTCATTTATATATAATATTTAAAAATAATTATATATAAACTACATTATTTTAATATTAATTAATAATTTAAAAGGCTTATTGAAATCTAAATTTTAATTAAATATAATGAAAACACACATTTCATAATTAATTAATAAATCTATTATTTTTATCTTTATTGTATATAAATATTAGTTATTTTAGGTATGCATAACGCTATTAGTCTTATTATTTTCATGCAAATTTTGTAAAATAATATATGATGTTTATTGTAAAATTAAATATAGAGGTAGTATCTCAAAACTAATTGTTTAATTAAATGTCTAATTTTCACATATTATTAGTAGTACAAATTGCAAATTTCAAATTTATTTGGTGAACCTGATGTCTTAAATTTTATATTTTAAATTATTTGTTTGACTTATTTAATAAATTTGTAAACTAAATATTTAAATATGCACAATTTATTATCTTAGAAACTAAATGTCAACTATATGTGTATAATTTCATATATAAAACATAAGATAATGATAAACTTAAAATGTAAATAAATTTTACAATATGTAATAATTCAATTTAAAAAAGTGAATTCTTTGCATAAATAATTCCTAAGTCATTTAGTTTATATTTTTATAGAAGTTTGCCAATTCAAACATGACTCTGCATTGTGGTGTGTTATTTTTAATGAAAGTCTTCAAAATGTGATAAATTACTATTTATCTACTAATTTAATATTATATGTAGAAATTCAAAACTTAAGTGAAAATAAAGTCATAAATTAAATACGAAAGCGAATAATAGAGTTGAGTATTATATTACTTACATAATAGTCTGTAATACCCAATAGGGTTATGAGAATATTCATTTTAAAAGACAAATAGTAATTAAAGCAAAATGAATAAATAAATATCTTAGAAGTCTAGATGGTGTACTACTCACAACCCTTTTGTTAATCAATATCTAAATATTGATCATCTTGATTTGAAATAGTTAATGAAAAGATAAACTAAACTAACCCAGTAAAAATATCACATTAATCACATATACGAAAAACTGAATATTAGTAAAAATCAGAAAAATAACTATGAGAGCCATTAAATTGATATACATATATTAAATATAAAGAAAGTTATTTATTTCACACTTACGTAACGAGTTTTTCAAAAACAACCTATAAACACTCATATTCATACACTTTTTATTTTCATTTATAAGATAACAATATACGATCATTTTCTATTTTTACTCGCTTGCCGATATCCCCGGAGGTCCATAAGGATATCTCCCTACTTATGAACCCAATATCAAATTAAATAATTAATCGGTCGTCTTCATACCCCGTCCAGTAATGAGCGTCAAACATTCCACCACCTCGATATCCCATCCGGTATTAGGGTGAATCATATCTCATAAACTTTATTGGTAAAAGACTTCCCAACCCCATCCGACTGAGGTAACGTTCACAATAAGGTTCCCTATGTATCGGACTCGTCCACCCTTTCCCGGGTATTCAGTAAATCTTTTACATATAGATTTTCATCAACATAACAACAAAACCAATAGCTCATTTTATATTCACATATCAATTAAACTACATTTATACTGATAGTATATAGCCAAATAAACCAAATCAATCGACAAGGCTATAGAAAATATAAATTTAGAACATGCACCATATAATAATGAGTCAATAGAGCAGTACAAGAAAATAAATAAGAAATTAAAATAACCGTGAACTAACCGGTTGCAGCTCCACTAGTATTTTTAGGGTTCTTAAATTTTCATAAAAATACACAATTATCGATTATTAAGCCTTAATTTACCGTAACGGAAAATAGGTTGAGGAATCCTTACCCGAATCAGTATTTCGGATATCGCGCTGTTTACTACGCTTCTTAACGGATACTGGATTTTTTAAATTTTTTATGTGGAATCCAAAATACTTGTCACGTACCTAAAATTCAAATCGATG